CACACAGATCAGCTGCAGGGCTGACTCACCTCCTCCTGACCCTGTCCCGGTGTGTGTCACCGCTTTGGTGTCACTGGTTTTGTTTGTGTCACAGTTTGGTGAACCTTTGCTTCCTCCTCGCTGGTGGTTGACGCCTCCAGGCTGCTCCTTCCCACTCCAGGAAGGTCAGGTTGTTCTTTACCCCAGAGAGCAAAAGTTTGTTCTTTCACCCTTATTGTTTCGAGCCAAGGGAAGTTTTTACCCTGGGATGGGGCTGAGTTCCTCAGTGCTTTGGCATCCTGGTGTGTCACTGGCCCTGAGGGCTCTGCAGGGTCATTAACCTGTGGGTCATTAAGCTTTTACTTTCTAATTTCACATCAGTTGGGAATGTGACCTGACTTGGATCGTCCCATTTCTCCAGGGCTCTGTGGCTGTGGGGAAATGTGGGAGCTCTGTCACACTCCCAGAGCTGAATTTCTCCTGGTTGGCAGGATAGGAAGAGGGAATGTTGTGTTGGAAGGTTTTGGGGAGTCTGTAGCACTAATCCATGCAGACACCTCCTGTCTGCAGATCCACAGCTTGGCATCCCTCCCTGCTCCAAGCAAAACTCTCCGAGCTGTGGGTGCTGAGCAGGGCTGGATGGGGTGTGGGACACACAGAGCTGGCCTGAGCCAGAGCTTGGCTGCAACACAGAGACCACAGTGTCTCATTTTCCCCTGGAAATCTCTTGTTTCCTGTGTCATTCTGGAGCAAAGAGGGCAGGACCTGCTCCATGGAGGGCTGTGATGCTGCCTGCCCTGCTCCAGAGCTGGAACAGCCTGGATGGCTGTGGAGGTGTGTCTTGGCTTTTCCAGATATTCTAAACACTTGGCAGCTTTCCTGAAAGGTGTTTCCAGCCCCAGCTGGATGCAGGGGCTGGCTGGGAGGTCTGAGGGAGTAGGAGTGTGTGAGGTCCTCCGGAGCAGTGCGTGTGCTGTCTGTCCTCCTCCTCCTCCTCCCCACACTGCCAGCTCTCCCTCAGCTTTACCTTGGCCCAGTGTGTGAGAGCAGTGTGGGATCTGTCAGCTCCTTCTGTGTGGAGCCAGCCCAGCTATCCTGCTGTGGGATGGGAAGGGTTACAGGAAGCTGTGCTGGCCAGACACCACTGTCTGGCCCCTGTGCTTGGGTGAGCGTTTTCCTGCTTGGCAGTGATGCCCTGGCTGTCCTCCCAGCCTGTCCTCCAAAGCAATTCCTGCTCAGCTTCTCCCATCAGCTCCAGGAGGGGTGAGCATCATCCCCACAGCCAGAGCCAGGCTGGTTGCACTGGGGTCTGGAGGGTTTGAGAGCCTGTGCTGACCTTTTCATGGTAGTGACAGCATAAACCCATCCCCAGTGCAGGAGCTGAGCTGCAGGGAGCTGAGTTCCTGGGAAGAGAAGCTTTGGCTGCCACTGGAAAACAACCCCTGAATGCTCTTTGCTCCCCAAAAGGGCAGAGGCAGCTCCTGCCAGGAGGGACAGGTCCCCATGAAGAGGGTGGTGGGGGTCAGTCTGCACATCTGCTCTCCCCCCAGTGAAAAGGGGGTGGCTTTGTGCTCCCTGGGCTCTGGCAGTGGGCACAGCCACAGCAGGACAGGCAGCTGGGCCCCATTTCCTTCCCCTCTGAGCTGTCACGTCCACACTTGGGTTTCGGCCGCTGCAGGAGCTGCTTCTGCTTCTGGGTGAGAGCAGAGTCCTGCAGGGCCCAGGGCCAGCAACTCCCCTCAGGGAGCACATCTGGGCTGGGGGAGCACATCTGGGCTGTGTCAGCTCCTTCTGGGGAGAGCTGGGAGCTCCAGTCTTAGAGCTGTGCTAAAAAGGAGCGAAGCAAAGCAAACAGGGCCTTTGCAGCTCCTGGGTGTGATGGGAAGTGCTGCTGATGTCAGGGGCTGGCAAGGAGAGATGAGATGCTCGTGTTTTGGCAGCCTCCACCCTCTGTGTTGGGTGTTTTCCTTCCCAGAGGTGGCTGAGTGTTCCCTTGACTGGAGACAGCTTTGGAGGGGTGTAGGTCATTGAAGCTGCTGCTCCTCAGGACGTGACCTGGGTGAGTTGGTGGCCCACAGGAAACTGAAAGCAAATCCAAGTTACTTCAAGCCCTGCTGAAAGAGAAAGGAGATCTGCAGACTCAGAGGAAGTTGTTGGTGTGTCTCAGCTCTTGGCAACCTCCAGTTTTGGGAGGCTAGAAAACGTGTCCTGTGAGGAAGGGCTGAGGGAGTTGGGTTTGGTTAGCCTGGAGAAGAGGCTCAGGGGTGACCTCATGGCTCTCTGCAACTCCCTGAAAGAGCTGGGGAGAGGTGGGGGATGATCTGTCCTGCCATGGCTGCAGGGAGAGGACTGGAGGGAATGGCCTTGAGCTGAGCCAGGGGAGAGTCAGAGGAGGTGGTGGGAAAATCTTTTCCCTGTGAGGGTGTTCAGGCACTGGGATATTGCCCAGGGAGGTGGTGGAGTCACCATCCCTGGAGGTGTTTAAGACGTGTCTGGATCTGGTGCTGGAGGATATGGTTTAGGGTTTAGGGATTCCAAAAGTGACAGGTTAATGGTTGGACTTGCTGATCTTAGAGGTCTCCTCCAACCCTGATGATTCCATGTTTCCACGATTCTAACTTCATTGCTAAATATCCCAAACCCCCACTCCAGCAGCCCAAGGGACACCTCCTATCTCTTGCCTTTTTGCTTAGCCCAGCCGAATACAAAGCCTTCCATCCTCTCTCCTCCCCTTCCCACTCTGAGTGGGGACACTGTGGGGTCTCCTGAGCCAGGCAGAGACCCTGTTGGAAGCCTGTGAGTGCCAGTGAGGGGCTGTAGGTGCCTCCAGCTGCTGTGCTCTCCAGCTTTTCACCCTGTTTTTTCTCCTTTGTGTCCAGATTCGCTACAAGGAGGAGTTTGAGAAGAACAAGGGGAAGGGTTTCAGCGTGGTGGCTGACACCCCCGAGCTGCAGAGAATCAAAAAGACTCAGGATCAGATCAGCAACGTGAGTAGCTTCTAATCTCTGCTGTGATATTGCCATGACCTTCCTCCCGCCAGGGAGGCTGGGGGGGCTGAGCTTGCAGCTGGTAGGGGACCACACTCTGACAGCTGCTGATGAACAGGCTGTGGCAGCCTGGGAGCCTGCAGTCCTGCTCTCCAGCTCCTTTGCCCAGGCATCCTGGGACCCTCCTGCACCTCTCCCAGCTCCTCTGTGCTGCAGCAGGATCCAGAGGGGCATCCAAGATACTCAAGTCCACGTTGGCTGCAAGAAAGGAGCAGCAGAGTGTGGGCATTTAGGGGGGCAGATGTGGAGCAGGGGCAGATCCATCCACTGGTTATCAGCAAAACCCACAGCGTGGGCAGCACTCGGAGTCATGGGATTGTGTCAGAACAGACCCACGAGGAGCAGCAATTCCATCTCCCATCCCTGCTGAGATGGGCTGTGCTCGCTGGACCCTGAGGGCTGTGCTCCTCTCGTGCTGTCCCTGGTTTGTGTGGGTGCCTTGTGGCTGCAGGAGCGTTGCCATGGTGAGGGAGGAGGATGCACACTCGCACGTAAACAAGGAGGAGGATGCACCGGCGCACGTAGGGCTGCGGCAGGGGAGGGCAGGGCTGGGCCCAAACTCACCCTGTGCTCCTTGGCAGGGAGCTAATTAACCTTTGGCTGCTGCTGAGAGTCATGTGTGTTCCTTATCAAAGCTGCTGGTGGACCCTGGGAAGGGAAAGCGATGGATTCTCCCTGCCCTGTCCACCCTTTCCATGAGAAACCTGAGAGTCCCCAAGTCTGTGGTGTCTCTGAGCTCCTCTTCTGCCTCTGCAGCTCCCTGAGC